AGACTGAGTGAAAACAGTGAGAACATCAACAAAGAATTGGAAAATATAAAAAAGAACCAATCAGAAATGAGGAATACAATACTGGAAATGAAAAATTCACTACAGTGACTCAATAGCAGAGTACATGATACAGAAGAGGGATCAGCAAACTGGATGGCAGACTAGAGGAAAACATCCCAGCTGAACAGATAAAAGAAAAAAGAATTAAACAGAACAAGAACAGTTTAAGGTAACTTTGGGACAATATCAAGAGCACTAACATTCATATCATAGATGTCCCAGAAGAAGAGAGAGGCAAAGGGCCAGAGAATCTATTTGAAGAAGTAATAGCTGAAAAATTCCTAATCTAAGGAAGGAAACAAACATGCAATTACGTGAAACACAGAGAGCATCAAACGAGGTAAACCCAAAGTGGCCCACACCAAGAAATAATATAATTAAAATGTCTAAAATTAAAGATAAAGAATGAATCCTAAAAGCTGAAAGAGAAAGGCAAGAAGTGACATACAAAGGAAACCCCAAAAGCTATCAGCTGACTTTTCAGGGGAACCCTACAGGCTAAGAGAGAGTGCCACGTTATATTTAAAGTGTTGAAAGGAAAAAACCTACAGCCAAGAATACTCTACCCAGCAAGGTTATCATTCAGGATGGAAAGAGAGATAGAGAGTTTGCTAGATGAGCAAAAATTAAAGGGGCTTATCACCAAGAAACCAGTTCTACAAGAAATGCTGAAGGGACTTATTTAAGTGGGAAAGAGAAGACCACATATAGGAACAAGAAAATTATCAAAAAAAAAAAAAGGACAATAAAATCACTGGTAAAAGCAAAAGTACAATAAAGGTAGCAGATCAACCACCTATGAAGATAATATGAAGGTTAAAAGACAAAAGTACTAAAATTACCTATTTCAATGATAAGAAGGTAATGGATACACACACACACAAAATAAGAGGTGAGATATGATATCAAAAACATAAAATGTGAGAAGGGGGAGTAAAAGAGTGGAGCTTTTAGAAAGAAGTCAAACTAAAGAGACTATCAACTCAATATAGATTGCTATATGCATAGATTATTATGTATGAACCTCATGGTAATTGCAAACCAGAAACCTATAATAAATACACAACTATGAGAAAAGAACCCAAACATAATACTAAAGAAAGCCATCAATCCACAAGAGAGAGCAAGAGAAGAAAAGAACAGAGAAGAAAGAAGAAAATGCCCAGAAACAAAAATAACAAAATGGCAGTAAGTACATACATATCAATAGCTACTTTAAATGACAAAGGACTAAATGGTCCAATCAAAAGGAATAGGGTGTCTGATTAGATATAAAAACAAAACCCATATTTATGCTGCATACAAGAGACACACTTTAGAACTAAAGACACTCACAAACTGAAAGTGAAGGGACAGAAAAAGATACGCCATGCAAATGTCAAATAAAAGAAAGCTGGGTGAGCAATACTTGTATCAGAAAAAATAGACTTTAAAACAAAAACTGTAACAAGAAACCAAGAAGGGCACTACATAATGGTGCAGAGAATAATCCAGCAAGAAGATATAACTCTTGCACATATATATGCACCAACATAAGAGCACCTAAGTATATAAAGCAATTATTAACATACATAAAAGGGAAAATTGGCAATAGCACAATAATAGTGGGGGACTTCACACTCCAATTACACCAATGGATGGATCATCCAAATGGAAAATCAATAACTCATGGGACTAAGACAGACAGAAATAAAGGGAGAAATAGAAAAGGTAACAATTATCAGTGGAGATTTTAACATTCTTCTCTCAGTAATTGATAGAACAAGAAAATTAGCAACGATACAGAATTTTGAACAAAACTTTCTATCAACTTAACATATTGGAGATTAAGAGAGCACAATAATAAACAATATGTAAAATACATTTGTTTTAAGTTTAGTATTCAAATACCGAAATAGTCTACTTGGTAGTCTTATAAAGAGATAAAAGAAATAGCACATGTAAGAATTGGATGAGAAGAAATTAAGCTGCCATTTATGTGTAATATGTTAACTTGTTTAGCAAAACCAATTCATGCATAGTCAAAATGTTGTAACTAATGTGAGAGTTTAACAATTATTTTTGAGGAGACAACTTAAAAAATATATATATTTAAGAAATATATAATTTTAAATTATAATTAAAAAAATAAGATTCTATTTTAACAGAAACAAATGTTATAAAGTATCTAGAAATCAGCCAAAAAACATTAAATATCTGTACAGATAATTTTTTAGTTTAATTTGATTAACAGACATAGAAGTGATCCAAATGAATAAAATTGTTTTAACGTTCTCTTCTTTTTTTTTTTTTTTAGGAAAATTAGCCCTGAGCTAACATCTGCTGCCAATCCTCCTCTTTTTGCTGAGGAAGACCAGCCCTGAGCTCACATTTGTTCCTATCTTCCTCCACTTTATATGTGGGATGCCTACCACAGCATGGCCTGCCAAGCAGTGCCATGTCTGGACCCAGGATCCAAGCTGACAAACCCCGGGCTGCCAAAGAGGAATGTGCACACTTAACCACTGTGCCACTGGGCTGGCCCCACAGTGAACTATATCTTCAATTGTCTTCTCAGGCATCTCCTTTTCCTGGGCATCATGGAACAGTCTTTCAAGACTGTATTCTCCAAAGGAGAAACACTTGAGTACTTTCCAGATACAAGATCTGAGGAGTTTACAATGTTAACATAACTGTTCTAGAAAGACGATGTTAACTGTTTTGTGCTTAGTCCTGGCTCAGTCCTTTTTTACCTTCAATCTTGTCTCTTGAGAGACCCATCAGCCTTCAAAACAGACGGGCCTCCTGAGCATTGCAATAGGCCAGTACAAAGCAAGCACAACTACCAACACAGTCCTTACTGCTCCAATGGCAACAACTGTCATACTTTTTAACCATTTCCACAAATGCATATTGGTCCAGATGCTGCAGTAGAAAATGATCATTTGCGGATTTGCAGAGAACAATAGTTATGTTTTATTATCGTCTACAATGTATCATGACTTGCGAGATAGAATTCAAGATAAAGCAGATGTAGGAGAGGAAGATTTGTAAATATATAATGTTATAAGAGACATGATGATGGGTGTTTGAGTAATTTGATTCAGTAATGGAGAAGAGGAACCAAATAAAATCCTAAATATATATACAAGTATATATATATTTTTCCTAGTCACTATCTTACTGTTTATGGAAGAACATCTTGGAAATTTCTATGACAGAGGACTTTCTTGTTATGTAACTCATAACCAGAAATAATTTCGAAAGAACATAGTCTAAGTAAGCAGTTGAAATAAATGAAGGGTGGACAATAACGATGAAAAGACTGACCATCTCAAGAAGATCAGAAGCCTTGGGAGTAAGATAAAAATCTGTGAAATTCTTCAGAGATTGTACTGGATGTGGAGAAACATCTGATCTTCCCTCAGAATCTACTGAGATTAAGTACCTTCTTTCGAGTTTTCACAGTCCAGAGAAAGAAACTGACAGAAGAGGAGCTTAAATAGAATAAAGACTGAGTGATTCCTTGACTAAATGAAGAGATAAATAGATAGAGGAAGCAAGGCTAATTCTGAGATTTCCTAATTCATGGCTAGGAGGCTGTTGTTGCCAGCAAATAAGACACAATCGGATGGAAGAAAATGAGAGAACTTAACTGAATTTATTCGGGGGTAACTTTATGTGTTATTATTATGATATCTTAATATAAAATATGCAATGCCTTCCAGAAAAGCCACATAGAAAATGCCATGGTATCCCAATAGAATCCTCTACTCTGAAGTGGCAAATTCCAGGCAAGGGACCTTGCTGACTGACTCAGAACCAGGCAAAATATCAAAGCCCGAAGGTGTCTGAAGGAAGAAGGCAATTATATGGTTCAGAAATAGATAGAATGATAGTGCCAACAGAAAATTGGAGAGGTCTGTGCAGGTATTCCAAGTGCCCTGGCAAACTGTCTGCTGAAGGTAATATAAAGAATGACCTTATTTAAACAAATGGATTTCTCCAAATTTCTTTCAAAATGAGCCTCAGAGAAGACTCTGCAGGTGAGAAACATGACTGTACAAGCAGACCACGATTTGGAGAGAGTTTTCTGTCGCTTCCTCCCCTAGAATGTGTCACAGTCTAGGGCTCTGACAGGAAGCTTTCCTCATTTAAAGGGAAATCACTTTACTTCTCCTCCTTCGGTATAGATTAGACATGTTACCATCTTATAAGTAAATTTGTTAAAAACTATAAGATGATTTTTAAATATTACATATATTTACCATGAGCAGTTATGCTTATTTGTAATCATAAGTAATGTTTCCCAGCTAAAATTTCTATCTGTATTTCCTGGTGGGTGAGCCTTTTGTTTGTTTGATTCTCCCAGAAGCAGATATAAGAATGGAACCTGGCAAACCAAATTTCCAAGTGGAAAACAATCATTTGAGTATTTGTGAAGAACAAAACTTGAACAAATACTTAAAAATCTTTCATACTTTGAATGCTCATTATTTGTAGATTTTTGTCTTAAGTTCTTATCTGTCTGGGGTTATAGGCTTCATTCCTCATGTAGTGATTTCCACAACTCAGGTTCTATGCTGTGGCTAAAATTTATCTGATTTTTTCTGAAATATTTTATGACTGATTTGATATTTTTGAATTCTTTACAAGGAAACACCTCACAAACTTACTCACACAAGTCCAGAGTAGCATATATTTAATAGTAGAATGCAGATACCACAACCAGACAGTTTTTTCCCCACACAGATATTATTTACACATCCACATAAGGAATCATTGCCATTAAGAATACTTATCAATGTATCTTGAGCTTTCACATAAGTGGCGTTCTGGAGAAGAAGTTGAGTTGCAGAAAGCAATTATAAATTAAAAAGCATGGTAAGAAGAGTGGAATGCTTATTCCAGAATTGTGATGCTAAATGTAAACAGAATGCTAGGAAGGATAGAAGTCAGTTATCAAAGTTAAAGGTGGTGCTCACAACAAGAGTCATGAGAAACTACTCTTGCTCTTAAAAACAAAAGAACTGAATTGTACTTACTTTGCTCTTCACCATCATTAGCCAAGATGGATGCCAGAACCAGAGGTAGGGCTGTCTGCAGCAGGGAGTCATGGCTTTGCAGAAAATAGACTGAGCTTGTTAGCAACTGATGTGCTTATTTGCAACAACTTTAAATCATTTGATAGCTTGAAGAAATAAAATCTTCCATATCTTTTTCTGTTTGTATGGTTGTGTTATGCTGTCCATCTTTAGATTTTCTTAAGGAGCCAATCTAAAATAAGTACAAATTTGACATTTGTTAATGATAAGGCATTTGTTTTTAATTTTTAGGAGCTTTGTACTTGTGTTTTAGGATTAGGAGATCTTATTCTGAGTTCCTGATGACTTTGTTATGCTGTCTATGGATATGAGTATTATTAAAATAATGATAGTGTTTTGAAATACTTGTTAATTATTGTGAGTGTATTGATGCATGTATATCCTTACTTGATCCCAGTTTCCTTGAAAAGACAACTTGACTATTTTTCTAAAACTATTTTTAGCACAAATTCAACACTGGCTTTAACACAATGATGAGGTTATTATACTATTAACTGATCCTCTACTAGGAAATAAATATTACAGAGCAGAATTTCACAAAATTTCAAAACTCAGAAAAAAAATCTTAAATAAATGAACTCAGTCTTCTCATTTGCAGGTGAAGATGCTGAAACTAAGAATGTTGAAGCGGCTTACCTGATGATTGACAGAGGTTTAGAAGGAGCCGGCCCTTCAAGTGGGCTATTAAATTGTCTGAATCCCCACATGCAGGGCCACAGAAAAATCACTCTGTCATCCTGCTTTTGCCCATAGGGGATTTGACTGGCTACTTTGTCTCTGAGCGTGCAACTTACTGGTTTTAACATGGCAGACAATTCTACGCATCACTACATTTCATCTTTCTTCCTGGTTGGTATTCCTGGTTTGCAAGATTTTCACTGCTGGATTGGCTTGCCTGTGTGCCTCCTGTTTGTCCTGACCCTGCTGGGGAACAGTGTAATCACCATTACCATCAAATTAGAGCCAAGCCTACACCAGCCTATGTATTTCTTCCTTTGCATGCTGGCAATGAATGACATGGCTCTTGCCTCTTCCACAGCCCCCAAGATGCTTGGCATCTTCTGGTTGGATGCTCACAGGTTTGACTTTAATATCTGCCTAGCACAAATGTATTTCATCCACACATTTTGCATAATTGAATCAGCCCTCCTAGTTGCCATGGCCTTTGACCGCTATGTAGCTATTTGCATTCCACTGCGTTATACCACCGTCCTGACAACAACAATGGTCATTAAAATGGGTCTAGCTGGCACGATCCGAGCTATACTTATGGTTCTGCCCTGTCCTCTTCTCATTAAGAGGCTACCATATTACACCAAACATGTCATTAATCATGCCTATTGTGAGCACATGGCTGTTGTGAAGTTAGCCAGTGCCAACACCCTCATTAACAGAGCATATGGAATCTCTGTAGCCCTTTCGGTGATGGTATTGGACCTAGGGCTCATAGCCACATCCTATATCAAAATCCTCCAGTCAGTCTTCCGGCTCTCCTCCCAGAATGCCCGCTCTAAAGCACTGAGCACCTGTGCTGCCCATGTCTGCACTATACTTGTCTCCTACACACCTGCACTGTTTAGCTTCCTAACTCACCGCATTGGCAAGAAGGTACCTCCAAGCGTCCATATAATTTTTGCAAGTTTTTACCTTCTGGTGCCTCCCACAGTCAATCCCCTGGTGTATGGTGTCAAGACCAAGCAGATTCGTGACCGAGTGGTTGGTCTCTTCTTCCCAAACAAGGAAATTTCTGAAAATTAAAATATTTAAATACAAACACATGTTGATAGAATCTGTTTTTGGAAGTCAAGTTTCATTAACAATAGGTGCAACCTTGTTCCCAACATGCCGCTTCTCAATTCAGCTGTGCCTTTTTGCAGGGATATTTGTTGCTGCACATTTATTTGTTTTTTCTTTCTATTTTCAATTTTTTATATTCTCTCTTTCTTTCCTTAGAAATAAAGTAATGCCTCTTCGTGGGAAGCTTTCATTAAATGTTGGCAATAATTGTTATTTATTACTGACATTATTTCATATTCTATATTAATCAATATTACTTTGTGATATCTACAAATCTGAAATGAGTGTGCTAATTATTGAAACAATTTAAAACTTCTCAATGTTTTGGACAATGCAGTTTATAAAGACAGGCATTTTTTTCATTTTGAATTGTTATATGCTCTGTTTAAAAATTCTGGAGTAAAAAACCACTATTTTGAGGGGTTTTTTTTACTTATTATAAGAGTAATAATAATAGTTAACATTCAAATAGTGATCAGTGTGTGTTTGTCTGTTTACTAAGCCTCTTACATGTATTTATTCCTTTAGTCCACAGAACTATACTGTGAGATAGATGCTATTATTATTCTCATTTTATCAATGAGGAAACCGAGACTCAGAGGGGTTATATAAGTTGCACAAGGTAACTCAGCTAGGAAGTGGCCATGTCGAAGTTGAACCCAGGGATTTTGGCTTTAGAATATATGCTCTGTACCATGCTACATTGTCCACTATGAGAGCAGTCTTTCACTAATTATTCACTTTAAGAATGTTATAACTTATTTCTCTAAATATTTTATATTTTATACCCCTGTATCTCTTCTTCTTTTAGATATTTTGGTAGATTTTTTGAGTCTCCTTCAAACTCCTCATACCTTATAAATTTCATTATAAGATTTTGGCAAACCTGCAAGCAAGAACTGCTTCTATTTTACCAGAGAAAAGTCCAATCGGTGCAGCCAAGGGACATTATGACTATGATTTCCAGACTTGAGTAAAACTGGAAGACGCTGACCATCCCGCTTATCTAAACGCAGTTCCCTTTCTGTTAGCTTCAGAGGATATGAATTTTTTGATCACTTCCCTTAAGTGATGCAACTGAAAATAATTCACTTCTTAATTAAGAATATGAATTTATTATTCATGGATCACAAAGGAAACTACTTTGGGCATATCTATAAATACTCTGTGCAAAACATCCTTTTATTTTTAGATCATTTCCTGGGATGAGGGTTCACTGAGTTGGAAATTGTTGATTTTGGACCAAGGTTGGCATATAATTTTCAAATATTTAATGGACATCTGTGTGTTTTCAAATGAGTTAGCTCCTCAAATCTTTGGCTTTTTATGAATTTCTGCTATAGTCATATTCTGGTTTGTTGATGACCATATATGTATTAACTTTTATATGTCTTATATCACAACTAGTTGTGTTTCCATACAATATGTAGTTCTTCTATTTATTAAATGAGTATATCTTGAATGGCTCTGTCAGATATTTTAGAACTAGAGTTCTGGGGAGAGAAAAGTCAAGTTCAAATACTGCTTTCATCACTAATAGCAGGGTGAGTTTCATTTTTAACTTTGTAAATTTTGAGTTTCATCTTTGATTAAATGTGTAAAATAGCTTTTATACTTTATAGTGTCAGAGTAAGATTGAGATAATGAATGAAACGCAATTATCACAATAGTTAACAAAATCTTCTTCCATATATACCAGTGTCAATGTAATGATAGGCATTGGAAATATGAAGATCAATTAGCAAAGCTATTTTTCCAAATGCCTAAATAGAGATCCCAACTGGCTATTTCTACTAGGAGATCCTATTTCTTTACTCAACATGTCCAAATCTAGACATTTTGCACTTATTCTCCCACCCAAACCATCCTACAATAATTTCATATCTCAGTGATTAACACACCATCACTGAAATCAGTAAAAGAGAATCAGTTAATATCGTAGAGTATTTATTGTGTCAAATATACACCAAAAATATATTAAAAAAGTAAGCGACAAATAATGAATTAAGTAAAAAAAATTTCAGCATTTATCCCAGATAACGTAGAAAAATTCAGTGTAATATAGTTTAAAAATTGTGTAGATGACTATGGAACACCAAAATAACACTGTGTTCGAGAAAAAATTTTAATTAAGGCATATTGGAGGAGATATCAAGAAAAGGCTGAACTGAGTCTTGAAGAGTGATGATAATATTACCAGGTAAGAGGGCAAGGGTTTCCAAGTAGAGGTAACATCACAAAGAAGTGAATAGACATGATGAGAAAAGTGAAAATATATCCAGAATAGAGTGATGTCATAAAAACAAAAGGATAACAAGTCTTCCAGGAAAAACATAATTAGAAAAGCCAGCAGGTACATCCAATAAGGAAAGGTCTGGTTTTTGGCACTGTGAAGGTCATTGGTCAACTCGGGAAATTAAGGACAGTACAAAGCGAATGATGGAAGGTCTATACAATCTGGTATACAAATAAAGACCTTGGCTCCAAGTGATAAATCTGGTCCAAAGCCTGAACTTACTTAATTAAATAGCTACACTTATTTTGCACTTATGGAGCCTAATGCTACTTTTGATCAACCAGGCAGAATATGAATCTGTCAGGCCCATGGGACAACCTATAGCACACAGGCTAAATCCAGCTTGCTGCCTCTTTCTGTAAATAAAGGTTTATTCGGGCACCACCACGTCCATTAATTTATGTATTGTCTGTGGAAGCTTTTGCCCTGTGGTGTCAAAGTTGAATAATTGGGACAAAGAGCACATGATCAAAATAGTTTAAAACACTTACTGTCTGTCCCTTTACATAAAATGTGGGCTGATCTATAATTTAGAGCAACAATTCAATACATTATAATGTGTTAGTCATTATATTCCTACACATTTGTCTTTGTTGTCCTTCCTTTAAGTTTTAAAACTTCTATCAAAATTTTCTGTAAGAACCGTGGTATAAAAGCCACAAAAACACATATAGCTAAACTCTTGATAAGATATAGGTCTACTTTATCATTCTTTATCATTCAGTGTTTTCTGTATATACATGGTCATATATGAAGTTTATTTTATAGTTTAGTTCCAAGAGTATGCATAAAATTTCAGTGACCAAAATGAGCATATATAATACAGGAAAAAGTGTCTCCTTGGAGGAATTAATAGTTTGTCCCTTTAACTGATAATTATAGCCATGGCACTTTAAAATTCATTATATTTGGATATCAGATCTTAGTTCAAACAAAATAAATATGTAAACCACTAATGGGAATTTATTGATTTATTTCATCCATTGTCCACAGAAATTTTATGATGATGGCTCAAATTTATCTATATCTATTTATATAAAGTTATCCATCTATCTATGGTATATATATAGCTATAGATTAAATATACGTATTAAGCAGTCTGGGTATTTAGCAGGAAAATTGGGATTAAAATACATTCAATAATTTTGGTTTCAGTTCTGTCATATAAAAAGTTTGGAAGTTTTTATTCCCATCCTTACTGTAAGAGAAACTGAAAAAACTCAAAAATCAATAAATTTCTTTTGATTCCTCAGAGAAATGAGATTGCAAGTTTAAGTCAGGCAAATACAGACAATCATAACCACTGTCAACCTTCTTAGAACAGACACTGCTGGAAACTTTAACTGTCTTGCCCTGCAGGAATATTAAAAGAAATTCTTCAGAAAGAAGGAGAGCTATATAGGTCAGAGACTCAAATCTACATAAAGAAAGAATATCAGAAAAGACTAAATGAAGATAAAATAGTTTCTTTTTCTTGTTCTTAATTAGCTTAGTAGATAACTCATTGCTCACAGTAATAATAGTAACTGTTGATTATGGAACACGGATAAATGAAATGAATGGCAGGGATATAAGAGATGGGAGGGAATAATTGGAAAAACTCCATTATAAGTTACCTGAACTACCTGTGAAGCGATATAGTGTTATTTTTAATTTGGCTTATATTAGTTGCAAATGTATAGTTAAAACTCTAGAGCAAATATTAAAAATTTTTAAAGGTGTATAATTGACATTCTAAGAGAGGAGAGAAAATGGAGTGATAACAAATCCTCAATTAAATGCAGAGAACAGAAAAGGGAAGGAAAAATAAAGAAAGAACAAATATAATGAATGAAAACAGTTGCAAACATGGTAGATGTTATTCCAACTATATCAATATTCACTTTAAATGTAAATTGTCAAAATGCACCAAACAAAATACAGAAATTTTTGAAGTGGATAAAAAACCAGGCCCCAGCTGTATATTGTGCAGAAGAAATCTACTTTAAATATACAGACACCTATAGGTTAAAAGTAAAGGTATGGAAAATATATGCAATGCTAACTAACCAAAAGAAAGTTGGATCAACTATATTAATTTCAGACAAAGCAGATTTCAGACCAAGGAAAATGATCAGGAGTAAAGTAACCATTTTGTAATGATAAGTGGTCAATCCTTCAAAGAGATAAATATCCTTAATGTGTATAAACCTAATGACACAGCGTCAAAATTTATGGGCAAAACTGCCAGAACTGCAAGGAGATGTGGACAATTCCACTACTGCAATTAGGGACTTGAACTTCCCTCTTTCAATAATGCATCAAGAAGGCAGAAAATCAGTGAGGATACAGGAGTTGAAGAGCACCATCAATCAACTTGATTTCATTGACGTTTGTAGAATATTCTATCCAACATCACAATAAATATTCTCCTCAAGCCCACATTGAACATTTACAAAGACATGTCACATTCTAGGCCACAAAATGTGGTGATAGTTGCACAAATCTGTGAATATATAAGAAACTATTAAATTGTGCAATTTAAATGGGTGAATTTTTATCATATGTGAAATATAGCTCTACAAAGCTATTAAACTATGAACACAGAAATGTATTAATTTTGGTGATGTGGATAGGATTTTGTGACATGCATGATTTGATGGAAGAGAAAGACAAAGGCTTTATA